TGCTTCAGCCTCCCAAGTGCTGGGATTACAGGGGTGCATGACCACACCTGGCCCCAGAACACTTTCAAGATTGGTACCATCGTACAGCCAATGTTATATTTTTCTAAGAGTAACAGAAGATACCAACTATAAACTGCTGCCAACACTGATTCCAATCGATGACTTGCAACTATGACTAAAGGATTTTGCATTTTTATGATAAGCTGGCAGGCTAGGTAATTCCTGAAAGGGAGAAGTCAACACTTGACAGTAGAGAATGTATATAGCTAACAGTAAAATGTAAGGGCTCTGCTCCAAGTAGAATACATATTTGACCAAAAATGTCACAAAATATTTTGCTAAAACTAAATCCATGAAAGTGTGATTATAGCAACTAGGTAAATTTCTTATTTTAAAAAATACCAAGGGTACAGCTATTATACTCAGGTGTTACCTAGCCTATGTCTAAGAACATGAAACAGCCAAGATTCAGCTCAGGCAGGATGACTTGGGTCTCTCTTCCTAAACAGTCTGCTACAAGCTACAAAGACTCAAGGAAGCCAAGCAATGGAAGCTATAAAAAAAAAAGGACATGCTCCTTGCCAGTCCCACCCTAATTAATTCTGGGGGAGAAAAAAAAATCCTATACTACCTGACACAAATTTTGTAATTCAAGAAAACAATCCTGACATCTGCATACAGCTCTATAATAAAAAAAAGTACTGCAAAAAATAGCAAAAACATTTACTTGCAGAGCAAATGAATATACACTGGTCAAGAAACTGCTAACTCAGGAGAGATCAATAACCTCAACAAAACAAAATATATTTATGTACTATTTTATTTACTGATCTCTCTGAAACATGTCAAAATTCTAATGGCTAATGCAACTTTCTATGCTAAAATGTTATTCACTGAGATGACTCTCTACAAAAAAACATTTTAATGCAGTGCCCTATTTAGCTCAGAGTAATCTACCTATGACCATTACCTTTGGGCAGTAAAATCAGATTATAGATACAGGATAAATATCACAGGTGTGACAGCCGTACTTACCATCTTAGCTATAGGCAAAATGAGCAAAATACCATACAGTACAAAGGTTTAACAGTCGGAATACTTTGCAGTCCTTCTAAGAAACTACAGATGGGGAATTCGTAGTAAATTATCTCTCATCACAGTAATCATCATTCTGCCCATGGATTCAGCTGACTGCTACTGTTTTTCATCACTGAAAACTAGATTCAAAGTTAGTCACTGTTCAACAAGCTAATTATACTACCAATTAAAATATCATTTAGGGCCCAGGATTTGGCTCAGTGGTTCCACTGCCTGCCTCAAAAGCGCAAGGGCCCTAGGCTGATCCCTGGTACGAAAAAAAAAAATTTAAACCCAGAAAGCTTAAGGTAAAGCACACCTGCTACTCATAACTACTTTTAGACATAACTGAGACTACACAACTAGCAATTAGATAAAATTTCTGATTAAAAAAATACAGGTTAGCTGGGCCCCGATCCACCGCGGGAAGGAGAGCCACGCCTGCTCCCGACCCAGCCGCCATCGCTCAAGCACCGGAAGGTAGCTGCACGGGCACCCCTGAACCCCTGTAAGTCTCCCCTCACCCCCGCACCCTCAGACCTCCTGTGTCAGTCTTTGGACCCACTCTGCAGAGGCAGAGGTGGTCATCAAGGGTATTTTTCTGAGTTCCCAACTTTGAACATCTTTAAAGAAAGGGCATGGGAAACCTGTAGTAGAATGGTGTAGAGTTCAACTATTCAGAAGGTTGGGGAACTCAATCTGGGCCTTACAGCCCGAGGTCAGTCAGCGTCAGGGGGTTCAGCCATCAGCTAACTGAGACCAGTAGTCTTGCATCCTCGCTCTGTCTGAGCCATTAAATGGTAAATACACTATATTGAAATTTTGTTCACTGCAGACATGTTCTGGCCTGCTTCTTGATCTCAATTTAATTCAAATGATTTAAGGGTGATAGACTAGTGACTACCACAGGTGGTCAATGTCCAAGTTGTGCTTGATCTTAATGTGTTGCTGATTGCATCAGTTGGGATAAAGCATTGCAATCGATTTGATGAGATGTTTCTCTGATGTTATGAAGATGAGAATGTTTGTGGGTCGTTAGAGACACAGAAGCTAGGGCGCAACCACATCAGGAAGATTTGGGTGATAACCCAGAGATTAAACCAAGGACAATCTGACAAAAATAAAAATGAGAAAACACTTAAGCAAGACACAAGGACAGACTTCCAGTCCACCAATGGCAAACAGTAGGGCAAATGAGGATGAGAATGTGTGGGTCGTTAGAGACACAGAAGCTAGGGCGCAACCACATCAGGAAGATTTGGGTGATAACCCAGAGATTAAACCAAGGACAATCTGACAAAAATAAAAATGAGAAAACACTTAAGCAAGACACAAGGACAGACTTCCAGTCCACCAATGGCAAACAGTAGGGCAAATGAGGATGAAAAGGCCAATAGTGAACCACCAGGACACCCTGAACTCAAAGCACAGGAAGTAACAAAACAGATCAGGCTCTAGAAAAATTCAAAACAGAACTAATTTCCCAGATAACCATAGAGATAGTGAGCAAAATGGAAGTCGTGATTCGAGACTCTAGAGCAGAAACTGACAAAAAAATAGATGAGCTCAAGACCATGATAGAAGCCATGAAGGCCCAGCATAAGAAAGAAATAGAAAAAATAAATGCCCAACATAGGAAAGAAATGGAATTCATAAAACAGATTCAAACAGATATCCAGGAGATTAAACACTCCATAGAAAGTGTACGCAACAGAATAAAAGAATGTGAAGATAGACTCTCAGACATAGAAGATAAGATTGCAGTCAGTGACCATGAGAAGAGAGATCTCTTAAAAACAGTAAGGGATCATGAGAAATCGATCCAACAACTCCTAGATGATGCAAAGAAGAATAACATAAGACTGATAGGAATCCATGAAGTAGCAGGAGAAAATACAAATGACTTAAAAAAGCTGTTTGCAGAATTAATGACCGAAAACTTTCCAAACAGAAGGGAAGAATTTGACATTTAGATAACTGAGGCATACAGGACCCCAACTAGCTACAATAAAAAAAAAATCTACACCTAGGCATATAATAATCAAGATCCCAGAAACCCAACAGAAGAACAAAATACTACAAGCAGTAAGAGAAAAGAAACAAATCACATATAAAGGAAAGCCCATCAGAATCAAAGCAGACTTTTCAACACAAACACTTGGGGCAAGGAGAGCCTGGAATGACATATTTCAAGTACTAAAAGAGAACAACCTCCAACCTAGACTGATGTATCCAGCAAAACTCTCTTTCAAAATGGATGGGGAAATAAGACATTTCCACAACAAAGAACACCTGAGAAACTGCATGAATACCAAACCAGCACTACAAGTAATTCTAAACAAGATCCTAGAAAAAGACAATGAAGGCAACAACACCATGAGGCCCAACAGAGCAAATCAAATAGGCAAGGCAAGAAGTTAAAAGGAGAAGGTGAAAAAGTAAAAAGAGTCAACAAAAGCCCAATAACATGTCAATAATAAGTCAGTACATATCAGTTTTAACCAGCAATGTCAATTGCCTCAACTCACCAATCAAGAGAAATAGACTGGCAAAATGGAATAAGAAGCAAAATCCAACAACATGTTGTATACAAGAAACACACCTACTGCAAAAAGAAGCCCAGAGACTGAAAGTGAAAAGATAGAAAGCAATTCTCCATGTGACAGGAGCCGAGAAAAAAACAGGGGCAGCAATCTTATTGGCAAAGTAAATTTCAAACCAAAACTGATTCTAGTATTATTGATGTAGGACGGTACTGTATCATACCTCTATGAATGTAAAATATCTTATACCTGCTTTATGATACATAGTAGGGACCGTGCTTTATCAGAGCTATATTTAATGATATTACTCTAGAATGTTCTCTTTCCAGATGATGAAGATGCTAATAAAAAAAATGGTCCCAGGTACCACAACAGCAAAAGAACTTTACTGTTTTCTGGATATTATTCTTTTCTTTGTTTCTTTTTGTTTTGAATGGAATGTGCTGAATGTCTCTAATTTTGTTCAGATGACTGCAGAACCTGGAAAAGCTGTTGCTGCTATCAATGCATTACATACTGCTATTTTTAGTCTTTTTATATAAATATATATACACACACACACACACACACATATATATATATATATAAAAATCGAATTTTGGGAAACTTTAACAGTGCTGCCAATTTTGCAAAAAGTCATCCCAATTTACTGTGTTGAGTTGGCATTGTACAGAAATGGACAGCCATATTGGTCTAGAAATGTTAATTTTTTTCATTTTTTAAATTTTTTTTCCATGTATACAGGGGTAACAAATCATACTAAATATGTAAGGTCATATCTAGGTGGGTTTGATTACAGAAACTAATAAAGTATTCTCTAAATAATGAAAAAAAAGAACAAGGTAAGACTATAAGAGCAAGAAGCAATTTAAATATGTTCACGGACCATTTTCATCTCCAGAATTAAGGATTATTTTAATGTTTTATCATTGCCATTTCTCTTTTACTTTCCTTTTTAGTTTTATTTTAGGACTCCCTATTTTTAATGTTCATACAGAGATTTCTTTAACTGAAATACCGAATAGTTTCTTTGGTGTGAAAAACTATAATAGTATACAGGATCCTAATGAGATAATTAATAATGTGAAATAGGAAGTAAAGGGCTAAAGGTGCAGGGAAAGTGGGAAGGGCGAGGGAAAGGTAATAAGGGAGGGGAAAATAAATATGAGAAACTGAAAAATGGAAATAAAGTATTTGTAAATGGGGAGGGGAAGAGGGGGTGAAGGGAGGGCAGGGACAAGGGGAAAAAATGAGAATCAAGACCTATTATGTAAAGGTACAGAATCCCAATGATGAATGTAACTGTATTGTATGCCTAGATTGTACCAATAAACTCAATAAAAAGAAAAAAAAATACAGGTTAGTACTGCACACAGTTAATTCCAGTTGCCATACATATTTATTGGTTATTATCAGTGCAAGTTTGTGTTCCAAAGAAAGAAATATAACAATTCACTAAAATGGTTACATTTAATTTTCTCTTAAAGGCAGATGAACTAAATGTAAGATCTGGCTTTTCTTGGTATTTCATTTTAAAATTACTGATACATATTTACCAGAAAAATAATTATACATTCTGCCCAACATCAAATAGTTTTTACAAGTTTCTAAGATAAATGCATTTCTTGTTCAATTTCCAAAATATAAATAATGGTTCTCTAAGTGAAAGCATTTATATTCCACAGCTCTAAGATAAACATTAAAAAGAAAATACAAAAAATGATCTCTTGGCTTTTGAATAGCCCACTCAGTTACATAAAGTATTTTTTGTTCCAATACTTTCTCAATTTCAAAAGATATTTACTTCCTACAAACAGAATAAACAGAATCTTCATTTCAAACTGTCAGTCTGTTTCCATGGTAACACTGCGGGACTCCTTGGCTACCATAAGTCGCATCAGCTGACTGTGGAACTTCTCAATCTTCTTCACATCTTGGGCTTGATCTGTTTTGTACACCAAGCACTGTCCAAAATTTTAAAAGCACACATTAAGTGAAACTAGACAACAACAGTGTAGAAAACATGCAACTGAGTTAAAAATATTACAGCCTTTCCTACCATTGTTTTTCTCTAATTTCTCTGAAGGCCACACTAAGGAAATCCTCTCAAATGCCCAATCCTCCAGGAATTACACTCCTTAAACACAATATTTTAGCCAGGTGTGCTGGTGAACTTGTAATCCCAATACTCTTGGAGGCTGAGGTAGAAAGATCACAAGTTTGAGCCCAGCCTGGGTAACTTAGCAATACCTTGTCTCAAAAAATAAACAAGGAGCTGGAGCTGTATTTAGTGCAAAGACTCTAGTTTCAACTGCTAGTACTACAAAAAACAAAATAAAACAAAATAAACACATAGAGATGGGGAAGCAGCTCAGTGACACCATGCCTGGCTGACAAGTACAAAGTTCTAAGTTTGGTACAAAAAAAGAAAAAAAAAAGCTAGTGTTTAAAGGCCACTGCTATAGATGAAAAACTACTAACTCCACCAGAAAATTCTCAAAATGTCCAAATGCTTAGCCAAGTGTATGTATGGTATTATCAGGGATCAATATACATTTTTCCTGTAAACAGTGTATATGAGACCAAGAGAAAAGAGGCCAGATATGATCCTGAGTTTCTCCCCAGGTAGATGATACTAAAAGGAGAAGACTGGACATGTTCCATTCTATACAGATTAGCTTCGAGGGATATACCAAATAAAGATACTCAACAGGTATAATCAAATATCAGAAGTTAAACAGGAGCTAAACATACAAATTTGCAGGTAGACAAAGATACAGGCAGTACTGGACTTTACTTAATGTACTGCTTCAGAAGAGACTGAAAAAACAACCAAAGTCAGAATCCTGGGGAAACAAATATTTATGGTGGGGCACATCAAAGAAATAATTAGCAAAGAAAAATAAAAGAACAGGAGAAAAAAAAAAAAAAAAAAAAAAAAAAAAAAAAAAAAAAAGCCAAGATAAAATGGAGGCAACAAGTACCAAAACAGTAATTTTCTTTCTTTTTTTTTTGCTTTTTGAGACAGGGTCTCACTATGTAGTTGACACTGACCTTGAACTCACTATGTAGCCCAGGCTAACTCACAGCGCTCCTCCTGCTTCAGCCTCCCGAGTATTGGGATTATAGGTGTGCACCACCAAGCCCAGCCCCAAAACAGTAATTTTCATAAGTGGTCTTCCTATCAAAAGCAGCAAGACAGAGCAAACTACAAACTGATAAGACTACTGCTTTGAAAATTAAGACACAGTCTATGAACTCTCACCAAGAGCAGGATCAGTGAAATTTTCCCTGAGAAATCAATGAAAGAGGACTAAAGAATGAATGGGCTATGAGGAAGCAACACTGCGCAGATCAGGAAAGGAGAGGATACAGCAGGGATGGAGAACCTTTGAGAGCTTTCAGTGACACAAACAGCATGCTGCTCTGTAAGCTTGTCACCACTGGGATAGGTGACATCAAATACACTGTTTACTCTCACACAAGAAACACGAAACCTTTACTCCCTGATACCCACTTTTGGTGTCTATTACCTTCTTGCTTAAGGTACACAGAACAAATGTTAAGCCATGCCCACATAACTACCTCAAGGAAGCAAGTTCAATTATCTCCCGAGGTTGTGTCTATAAAAGCTTCTCAGCCAAGTGTGGTAGCCCATACCTGTAATCCCAACACTTGGGAGGCTGAGGCAGGAGGATCCCTGCTGAGTTCGAACCAGCCTGGGCTACATAGTGAGTTCCAGGTCAGTCTCAACTACATAGTGAGACTCTGTCTCAAAAAAACTAAATAAATAAATAAAATAAAAAATAAAATGAAGTTCTTCATATGAAGTGGAAAATAAACATGCCAAATGGCTAATCTGAATAAATTCTGTATAAATCTAAAATGTTTAAGTCAATAATACATCTGTAAGTATTCAACAAATAAAAATGTATACTTACAACTAAATCATCTGTTACTTTAATACACAAATTCCCATCAGCATGCCTATATTTGAGAACCACCCGCGCCTGAAATAAAAACACATATTTAGAAGCAATATAGACGATGTTGCTCAAAAATTAGTCTTCAGGTAACTAAAAGGGATCTTTTTAGAATACCAAAAATACCTAAAGACACCTTTACTGTAATCTTATTACTGAAATGAGGTAAAAATAAAACAGCCATTTCATTTCATTCGTACTGCTACAATTTATTTTACTATAGACATTTTTACAAAGTTAAATATATTGTATTTGCAACCACCTAGAAGAGATGTACTAAAAATTCCCAAAACACATCCGTATTCAGGGAATGTCTGTGAGACTATAAGGTAGTTTGGCCTTTCTTGCTAGTAAGTACATACAACATTGTTAGCAACAGAGGAATAACGGGAAAAGAATGAAAAACAATCAGCACATATAGCTAGTTAAAAAATCCAAACCCATCCAGGTAACAGTGCTGTGATGCAGTTCAAACTTGATACTTTTCTACAGCTCCCAGGAGATGCATTTAGACTAAAGTATTCAGTTAAATAATTCATAACATGATGCATTACTTAAGCGGAATTGTGCCTTGAAAAGAAGTCTGCATCAACTTTTCCCAAAACTAATAAACTCCCGTACTTAGTGCTATGCTCCATAACACTTTTTTGTTTTGACAGGGTCTCACTAGGCAGCCCAAACTGGCCTTGAAATCTCAGCAATCCTCCTGCCGGCCTCCTGAGTGCTGGGATTACAGGTGTGTGTACCAACACACCCAGCTGCATAATACTTTTTGTTGTCAGTAGAGTTAAGTAGCCAAGACAAGATTCAGATATGGTTCCCATAAAACAATGATGTCTGTGTGCACTGCATATTGCAGCAGCAGGTTTTGCTAAGGACTATCAGTAACATTTAGTCAGTTTTTTTTTTAAACACTGCTAAGAATCTATAAGACAAAATAGGAACATAATTTTATTTTGGTTTTTGGTTTTTGTTTTTGGTACCAGGGATGGAACTCAGGACCTTGCACTTGGGAGGCAGGCACCAGAACCACTAAGCTAAATCCTGCGCCATGGAACATAATTTTAAAACGGTTCCAATGTAGTACCAGAAACCTCAACACGATTCTGGATAGCAAATAAAAAGGACTACTGCCGTTAAAACCCTACAGCTTTTCCCATTATGCTCTTTGCATTCCTGAGACTACAAAAAATGTTACATGTCCATGAAATGTGTCTTGGTGAGGGAGACACAAGTGACAACTTACCAAGAATTTAAATACACATACAAAATAATGACCAGATTAAGTTTAGAATAGGTGACCTACTAAACTCAGTTTTATTTTAATTGTTTTCTACAAACAAAAAGCTAAAATTTAAAATTATCATATGTAAACATATGATAATTATGTAAAGTTTTAGCTGTTAAAAGAATATTCTCTGGTCCAGGGATTTAGCTCAGTGGTTCCTTGCCTGCCTCGCAAGTGCAAGGACACAAGTTCGATCCCCAGTATAAAAAAAAAAAAAAAAATTCTCTGGTTGCATTAGGAGAATGAGTTAAAAAACTGTATTTTGTCTACCCGGTGGGAACATCCAGGCAAAAATCCTACACAGTAGTACGGTATAATGCTTGACTGAAAAAACAAACGGCTCTGCAAGAAAATGGAAAACCAACCATCATGGGTGTCAAAAAGTCCTCAATTTCAAAAATAACAACCATTTCACGGTTTACTACATATCTATAAAATAAGCTATTTTTGTATCACTTTAAAAACGGTACCCATGGGCCAGGAATTTTGCTCAGCGGCACGGCGCCTGCCTGGCAAAAGAAAGGTCCTGGGTTGAATTCCCCGTACAAAAAAAAAAAAAAAAAAAAAAAAAAAAAAAAAAAAAAACTTATAATGTTTCGCTTCTTGCTGCTTATCTATGTCTTTCTTTGGGCACCCTCCCGCCGCCCCCCCACGTACCGGGTGTAGAACTCAGGCTCTTGCACTTGCAAGGCAGGCGCGGTGCCACGGAGCTAAATCCCCTGGCCGGTGCCTATTTTTCATTATAATAACAACGTATCTCGGTGCAGTTGAAACTGATGCTCATTACAAATAATGTAGTGCTGGAGTTACAGGTTACCAAATTAACGTGTACCTTTAAAACACAGTTCCTGTTATTTATTGATCAATAAAAATCTCACATAGTAAACTTGAGTGTAGTTTTCTGAGATTAACTGCTTTTTTATTTTCTTTCTTTTCCAAAGACCATGTTCATAGCACGAGTACTTAACACCAGCTCTTTTTTTAAAAAATTGAATTTACTGGTACATTCTAGGTAGACAGTACAGTTACATTCATTACTGGGATCTTGTACCTTTACATGCCAGGTCTTGGTTCTCATTTTTTCCCCTTGCCCCCCCCCTCCCTTCACCCCCCCTCCCCACCTTCAAACACTTTAATTCCATTTTTACATTTTCTCATATTTTTTTTCCTTTTCCCTTGTTCCCCCTTCCCTATCCTTCTCATTGTCCCTACACCTTTGGTCCTTTTCTTCCTATTTGCTAAGCTTAACACCAGCCCTTAAGGGACGAGCGAATCTTTTGTTTCCCCCAAAGCCTAATCTGGCTTGGTGGCACGGGGAAGAAAATCACTGGCAAACATTTTATGTAAACTACGTTATGCTGAGGAATGGGTCTGAGCATCCACAAATTTTCGAAAAGCCACTGACCCAGAAAAGGCTGGGGGCGCCTTTCTGGGGAGCACTGGTACTTCCAAACGGACCTGAGGGCTGTCTGAGCGGTGGCGGAAAGCTATCAACATCCTGTACACGCGACGCACCACAACGTCGCGGCGGCCGGAGCCCAGCATCCCGCCAGCGCCAGGCAGGAGAGGCGCCGG